CCTGGGCCTCCTCCTCGGCCCGCTGGCAGGGCGGAGCCGTCGCGGAGGCCGCCCCTTCGTGTTCACTGTTTGGGCCACAGAGAAACGGGAGCTCAGGCCGGAGACCGGCTTAGCTCGTGACCCCGCCGGGCAGCGCTGCCTGCCACGTGCGCCCCCCTCGCCTCCCCGGCCGCTAGGAGGCTTCAGTCCGCCCGAGGTCAGCTGTGCAACTGCACGTTTCTCTTGAGACATTTCCCCTAGTTTGGGCAGGTCCAAACCCGAGGCGGTTGCACTTGCCCGCCCACGGTAACCAGGACCTTCTTTAGAGAGACCTAAGCTATGAACCAGCTCAACCCTTCTCGGTGCCTCCTGCTCCTCGAATCAAAGCACATCTCACTGCATGGAAACATATCCCGCTCTCCAAATACCAGATGCTTTATAGAGGGGGGCGTCACATGTAAGAGCTGGATCGGGCAAACTCCTTTGGCTTGCGGGGTCCCTCAGGGCAGCCGAGAATTAGGGCTGTGCAAAAACAGCACTTCCACTTCCAGGGAAGTGTTTCGAATCAAGTGTCGTTTCATTTTGAAGCACTGTTCTGTTTTATCAAAACTGTTTCTCTGTTTCAACATTTCGCTCAGAGACTACTACTCTGCACTCGGTGCGGGGAAGATCACCGCTGCTAGCACCAGCCTCCTGTGATCTGGCAGGCAGATCGGGGGCCTGCACCCCCGGGAGCAGTCCAGCACAGCCCCTATGGGGGTACGAGCAAGTCCCCCATCTACTTGCTGGATCACAGGAGGCTGCTGCTGCCACCAGCTGGGACTGGTGCTGAAGCTAAGTAAACCTGACTTCAAAACTCAAAATGTTTCAAAACTTTCAAAACGCTTCGAGTGCCCTTGTTTTGTTTTGAAGGCTTTTGTTTCATTTCACTTTCACTGTTTTGAGCGCAAAACACATTGAAACAGCTTCGAAACAAAACACCAGGCGAAATTTTGCATAGCCCTACTGAGAATCCACCCAATTATATGCACTGACTCTACCACAGCTGTATTCAAGCTTTTGCCCTGGGGCAGGAGTGGCACAGCTAGTCCATCTAGCAGCCTGCAGGGTCCCACAGGTCCTGAAATTTGGCAGCGGGGGCATAGCAATTACTACTGCCACTACCCCTACTACCAAACTCTTGGACCCATGGAGAGCCCTGTGGGCCAGAGAACATGGCTCTGACTCAGAAGGCTATAGAGCACTCCCACTCTACATCCTCTGGCAGAATATTTCCTATGCTAACTTATGCACTGCAACCTGCTCCTTTTCCAGTTAGTTTCCCACTTGCTTGAAGGTTTGTGGTTTTATCATCTGAATAAAATTATTCTAGCTAAATAAGGGAATAGGCTCATAGTAGCTAGGCATCAGTCCTAAAAGCAACAACCACAGGCTATTAATTTCTAGCCCCTCACCTTCTCTCCAACAGCAGGAGAAGTTCAGCTGGTGAACAAATGGATCAGTGAGTGCTTAACATTTTTTCAGTCAAATCAGGTTATAGCAATTAGATGCCTAATTCCCCATAAGCATCTGTTCTTTGACACAGAATTGACACCATTTTCTTGCATTGTTCTTTAAATTAAACCAGGTAAATTAGCCTGTTGCAAAAAATATATAGGTACTTAGTGTGGGCGCCTCAGCCCAAAAGACAACGTTTATTTATTTATTTCAATTCTTAAAATAATAGTTGTGGAGAAGTACCAAATAGACAAGTATGCAAAAATGTTTATTTCACTTATGATAAAAATTTCACATCTAAAAGTACACCAATTCCAAGTATTTGGTCACATTATATACATTTGTTTAAACAGCGATCACTGTACATGTAGACTGTGCAGTATACATCGTATTTGTTACAGATATTTGTTCGAGATTTTTTACCTAACTAATATCCATCTTGAACTGATACATAATTCTTGCTTTATGAGGGGTCCCAACCTCCCTCTGATTTAAGGAAATTCCAAAAGGGGGTAGGAGGGGACGAATTTATCACAGAACATTATCTTATCCAAAATTAAGCACCTCAGCTCCTATGCATTTCCTCCTGCTCCCAAAGAAGTTTTTCTGTTTTTAAGAGGAAGGGCATTGGTTGGTCCCTGGAAGTCAAGAGAATTCTCAGGATTAGATCCAGACTTAGTTTGTAAGCACAAGTTCCACAAACTCTTCCAACAAGGGAACTCCAAAATAAATTATGAGATTACCTGCATAATTCATAAAAAACATACCTGGAATGTTCAAATTGGAGGGGCATTTAAACATCCACAACTCCAGCCCAAGTCAATGGGATCTGCAGGTTTTTTAAAACCAGACACAAAGGATCAATTTTTTTCAAAGGTATTTAAGCATATAATGCCCATTACAGTTAGTACTTGAGTATCACTGAAAAATCTATCCCAGCATGTCTTAAATAGATGGGAAACAGAAGAGGACTGCTATATACACTAATAAGAGCCCGTATTTGTTGTCACATGCAAGCTTCTTCATTAATATACTTGAGATGTTTCCACAGAATAATCTCCTTAATCTTGACCAACCTGCACACATATACAGGTCACTCTGCTGGCTGTGCTGAGGCCCAAGACATCAGCCTCCTTTAGGCCTCTACAACACCAGAACCAGGATTAGAAAAGAAATGCAGGCTTCTGACAAAGCAGAACACTCCTGCAATAGTGCTATACTAGCATTAGAATATTTTAAATATCCAAGCTTAACTGAACTCAGTAAACTGAAACAGTCCTTTAAAATATGCCTGAGTAAGAGCACTTTTCTCACTGCATATATAAGGTTAAGCTTCAATCTGCATTTGTACACTTGATCATATCAGTCAGTTTTATGAAGCAAGTATTAGAACTGAAGAGGTGTAAAGCACATGGTACCATATCTGGCAATCTGAGAACTCTCCCATGTTAAAAATAATTTTAAAACTATGTTTTGGACTCTAAGCCACGTGCAATGTAAATGTGCTACTATATGGTATGAATTTAACTACCCGGACTGCAAACAACCCCTCAGTCTTCTGAGTAGTTTAGAGTGGTCAGAGTACCTTACATTCCTTTCTAGAATTCATGACAATTCATTTTAAAAGTGCATCTCAAGCCAGCTATTTTGATATATTACATAAAAAACATGATTTGGAGCCATGTGAAAGCATATTTAGCATATGCTAAACCAAATTAAAGTGATATCTGCATACTTTTCACTTTCATATTATCTGGATAAAAGAGTTTGGAAAACTAAACAGAATTATTTGGAAATAAGCATCAATATACTGCTACAGAAGGGCCAAATTCTGGCTTGGTAATGAGTAGGGACCTAAAGTAATTGCGACTGTGCCATGTTTACGGAAACTGCAGTTTTGGGCAGGCTCTGCAATTTTGGCAAGCTTGCTACAAAATGTAACTTGGTGGCAAGCAGAGAAAAGGTTGGGAAGCCCTGCAGTCTTAGAGCACAGGGGGAAGGGAGAGGGGCAAGGCAGGTCTGGTTGCAGCAGGAGGCACAGAGGCTGCCTCCACATCTGCCCCGAGCAGATCTGCCGCCCTGCCCCCCAGTTTAAGACTACAGGGTTTCCTGGCCTTTTCTCTGCTTGCCAGCAGGTTGGGGCAGTGGGGGGGTTCCTTTTTGCAGCAAGCCCACCAAAATTGCAGAGCCTGCCGCTTAGGGATAGCACAAAACTGTGGCTTAATTACCTTGTTTAAACCATGGGAAGCCACTAATCCACACTTAACAAATGTATTAGTGGCTTCCCCAGGCTTAATCAGGCTAATTAAGCTGAGGTTTTTAGGCAACATGGCAATCACCAGGGAGGGGTGGGACTGATGGGGCCCCTCAGCCAAAGGCACGGTGCCATGCTCAGCCCATGAAAATGGCAGCCAGCCCCAGGTGATCTGCCCACAAAAATGGCTGGCTACCTCCTTAAGTTTGGTAGATCTCTAGCAACGAGCGCGCCACATAAGGGTGGAGGCAGGAGTTTCTCTCACACAGAAAAATAAGACTGTTAAACAAGTTTAAACATTTAGAAACAGTAGAAAATTAGAATTCTAAAGTAATCTGCTTTTTAAGGGTTCTTTTTTAGCCTTCTTTTTTTCTTTGATTTTTCACAAAAATATACAATACAGCAGATTCCAGTAGTGCAGCTCAAGTATTTGCAGCCAAGGTTAAAACATGAAACCCTAAATATCAATTTAAAACTAAAGTACAGCACCAGTGACATTTTTAAGGCTTCCAAAAAGTAATAAAAACGTTATTAGACAAAAAAGAGCTTTTTTTTTTTTTTTTTAATTTAAAAAAAGAGGGGTTGCAAAAAACACACAATTTGTGCCAATTTGCAATTTCCACACCTATGCAAGCAGTGGGCTCTTTGAAAGAAAAGGCTTTAAAAAAAAAGTATCACTGAAGATCATTAGGGTAGAAGAGAACGTGATCTCAAAGGCAGAAAAAGATTGTCACTTGAGCTGGTACAGGCTTCCTGTTGTTCAGACTGCAGATCTGGAGGAAGAGGGGGTCCTCCAGGATCTCCAGGTCCTGGAAGAGTGGCTGAGAAAACTGTATTTTCTGCACTTCCCATTTCCACAACTGGTAGATTCATTGAACGAAGAGATGCAGCAGACATAAAGGCAGCTGTACTGAACTCTTCTTCTGTAAGATAAACATGGGTGGGTTCTTTGCCTTTTATTTTTTCATAGAAATTCGATTCATCAGAATATGACCTAGAAAGATTATTTGTTCCTCCATACAGTGAGGTCATACAGGTGCTACAGCTTAGGCCTGCAATAAAAACCAGATTAAGTCTTATTAAGAAACATTACATACTTAGGTTGCTTCTGCTCATCTATTATTTCAGTGACATTAACATTCCAATAGCCTTCCAACTAGAGCAAGTATTAACGTTTTATCTGTGGGGATCACTTGCTTTGGATTGCCTTGTAGGTCTGTCTGCTCTCCTCCCAACCTTGATTTTATTTGTTAAATTCCCTTTGCAATCGATTACTTAAACACTGTAAACCCATGCACTTGAATTCTAGCCTAATTTGTCTTGGGGAGGTGAGCGGAGGGAGAAGGAGAATCACAATTCTTTTCCTCTTTCTGTTGCAGGGTTTCCCATGCTCCGACACACCTTCTCATCCCAAAAATGGCAAGTACAAGATTTTTACAGCATTACAGCTGAACAGATTGAACCACCTTCTACCACCCTTCAAGCATTTAACCTCAGAAGTAGTTTTGGTATCTTTGTTATTAGGGGATTTCAAAACTGGTGGATAAATCTAGATACTGGAGCTCGACTTTGAAGCAGCCAGTTATTTACAAGTGCAGAGAAGAAAAGCACGAAACCCAATAACTGCTCAGTACCTGTGAAAAGTAGGCTACTTAAATTAATGTTTAGAAATCTTAGCTTGGGGTCTGAATTCATGATCTGCAGAAAGCTGTACCTTCTAGGAGACCATGGCTCATCAGCAGGGATCTGGGATTTCACTTCGCTGCAGAAAAAACAGATTTTCTCCTTTACAGAAGAAAAACCTGTGACACCGCAGGTTTCCCCTCGCAGGCTGTCAGTGTTCCAGCCTGCAAGGGGTTGCTTGGGGCTGGGGGGAGTAGGAAGCAGCAGTCACCACATGGTGATCCAGGCTGACCTAGACAGGCTCAGAAAATGGCTTAGAAAATGGGTGGACGAAAACCTGATGGCATTCAACACCAAAAAAAGCAAGGTACTCCACCATGGGGAAAAAAAAAACCCAAAAGGAACTTGGGGGTCATGACTGACCACAAGATGAATACGCGTCACCAATTCGATGTCGAGCAAAAGTCTGGCTTGAGTCCATAGATGCTTCTAAAGCAAACCCCAGGATGACATCCTCCCACTGTGCTTGGCCTCGGTGAGGCCACAGCTGGAGTACTGCATCCAATTCTGGGCTCTACAATTTAAAAAGGATGTGGAGAAGCTTGAGAGAGTCCAGAGGAGAGCCACACGCATGATCAGAGGGCAAGAGAATAGGCCTTACGATGAGAGACTGAGAGCCATGGGACTCTTCAGCCTAGAAAAGCGCAGGCTCAGGGGGAACCTGGTGGCTGCCTATAAGTATATAACGGGTGTGCATCAGGATCTGGGGCAACGCCCGTTCACCGGAGTGCCCCAAGGGATAACAAGGTCAAACGGTCACAAACTCCTCCAAGAACATTTCGGGCTCGACATAAAGAAGAACTTCTTTATTGTTCGAGCCCCCAAGGTCTGGAACAGACTGCCACCAGAGGTGGTGCAAGCACCTACTCTGGACTCCTTTAAGAGACATTTGGATGTTTATCTTGCTGGGGTCCTTTGACCACAGCTGACTTCCTGCCCCTTGGGTGGGGGGCTGAACTTGATGATCTTCCGAGGTCCCTTCCAGCTCTAATGTCCATGAAATCTATGAAATTCAAATTATTTTGGCATTCATCACTCTGGGTTCAATTCACTGGGGACAAGACCTTGCCTGTTTAAGTGAAGCCAAAGGAAAAGTATACTCTGAAGAAATCTGTTGAGTCGCAGTACTGTAAATTTAGCTTCTTGTCTGTCTTGGGCTTCTTAGAACCAACTCCTAAAGTGGTTGGATCTTATAAGTTCTGCGTTCACAGGCTTATTTTATGGTATGGTACAGTTTAAAAAGCAAATAGTTTAAAGAGGAAATGCATGAGGAAAACATTACCACCCATCTCAAATTCTGCAATGTATTTGCATGGGAAGCAGTTTCACAAATTTAGCTGAACTAAAAAAAAGCCACCCCCCCCCAGACCTCTTCCCCCTCCAAACCACAATCTGCGTGCATCATAACTAGGGATCTGGGTTTTCTGTTTGCTGTGGAAAAACGTGGATTTTCTCGTTAAACGTAGGAAACCTCAGGTTTCTCCTTGCAGGCTGGCAGAGGGGCTACTTGGGGCATGGAAGGAGGCTGATCAGATGCATGAAGTGCCATGTGCATGCACACATGCGTGTGACCAGCCATACAGCCAGGCAGTGGTGAAGAGAAGCTCCCCTAGCTGTTTACAGGCAAGTCTATGGGTGGGGGGGGGAGAGAGGGGGCAGACTGAGGCAGTGGGGGCTCACACCAAGCCTCACAGTAAGGGAGGGAGTAGGGCAGGGTTGGCAGCTGGGGCTGGGGCACTGCCCAGCTAGGGCAAGGAACAGTGCCTGGGGCTGGGAATGTGCAGTCACAAGGCCCAGCCAGGGAGGAGGATGGAGCCATAGGCAGCTCATCTAGGCGGGGCAGGGGTGGCTCTCCACCACTGTGTGCACTCCTGGGGAGGGCTGGGCATCTTAGGGAGGCATGAGGGGACATTACCACTCCAAATCTGTACATGCACAACAGGGCACAGGGCTGCAGCCTGGCCAGATTGGCATCAGGCAGGAGCTGCCTCTGTGGCCCAGCGGGTGGGACCCAGCACAGGAGGGTTGAGCCAAGTGGTGAGACTCACTGTGGCTGCTGCCATCACCACCGGGACCCCTGTGCCAGCTATGCTGCCATGGAATGGGGAGTGTGAAGAGAAAGGGGAAGGGGGGAGCCCTGCTCTCACCTCCTCTGGCTGCCAGCCACTCGAGTGCCATGCCACAGCTCTACCCTGTTGCCACGGAACAGCCACCAGTGCTTTCCGCAGACCGCCCTCACTCCCCACCCTCCCTACCTCCCCTCCAGGGTACAGCTGCAGCCTGGCATATGAATGGCTGATGGGAGGAGGAAGTGAGGGCAGTGCATCCCTCCACCCCCCAGTCCATCAGTTGTGCTGCTGGTGGTGTGGCACTACTCCATGGCCATGTGACTGTTGCGGGGGTCCTGGTGGTGGTGGCAACAACAGATCTTCCTGCATTGCTCCACCTTCTCATGCTGGGTCCTGCCCATTGGGCTGCAGAGGTGGGTTCTGCCCAATGCCAGTCTCACCAGGCTGTAGCCCTGTGTCCTGCTGTGGGTGCACAAATCTTGGGGGGCATGTCTGCCTCCCCACAATGTTCCCCTGATGTGTCACCTATGGTATCGTCTATGGTCAGGCATCCCCCTGTCCCATGCTTCACTCACTGCCCTACACCCCCCCCGGGGGCTCAGGCAGTGGGGGGTGGGCAGCTATGAGTTGGAAGTGAGGAGCACCAACATGTCATGGCTGCTCAGTGCCACAAAGCAGCGAGAGGGGGTGGAGGGAAATAGCTGCAGTTGGACCCGTGAGCTCTGATTTTCCATGATAAAAAAAAAAAAAAAATTAAAAAAAAAAATCAAATGCCAAAATATACAAGTGTTTAGAATTTATTATATTGACTGAGGCACTGGCAGGCTTCCAAATTGCTTTAAAACTGTAAATATATCAATAAAACATTGTGTTCAATCGATACCTATATATAATGGCATCTCATTTTAATCATGGAAAAACACGGATTTGAGGATTTTTAATGAGAGAATTTTAGAATTTTTATCAAGAGATTTTTGGGATTTTTAAATAGAGAAAACTAGGATCCCCAAGCATAACGCAATTCACTTTTGTGCTTATGCATCTCTATATGATTAGCATGGTAAAAGACAGAAGACTCTACACTTGCCCCTTGGGGTTTAAGTACAAGTCTGACAGGACTGCCTTGCCCTGCAAGATAAGGCTTCAAAGGCTGAAACCCTACTATCAAAGAAAAAAAGCTTAAAAAAAAATAGTAAGGTAACATGACAGTTCTTTTGATTTACTTTTTACAGATGTCCTCAAAATGTCCTCTACTTTACTATTAAATAACTCACCTTTGAGAGCTTCAAGTTTTTCATTTTTGACCTTCAACACCACATCAGTTATCTTTTCTAAGAGGAAGTTCTGTGTTCTCTCTCGTCTGATAGATTCAATCAAAGTATCGAGTCCCTTTGGATTTTCTGCTAAATAGTCCAATAACTTGCCAGTTTTTTTCCTACTTGAGGGTCGACAAGAAATTTCTTCGGCATCTTCTCTGGTAAGAATTTTTTTTGATCGTAGGTAATCAAAGTGTCTCTCAGCTATGATTTTGTCACATAAATAAGGACGCATCCTTTCTAAGGCCTAAAAGAAAGACAGAACAGGCATTAGCTGATATTCCATTTATTTAAAATAATACGCTAAAAAATAAAAATGTCAAATTGAGATGTCATTATCTAGTGTATCAAGTAACATGTAAGAATTAGAGACCCCAGTGTCATTACATAACAGCCAGAGAGGCTTTTTCTCCCGTATGTAACTTTTACTGTACACCGACTTGAGTATTGCCACGTGTATCTACCCAGAAATGTTCCCAGCAGGGTCCCACAGGATACGTATGTCAGGGAGCGAAAGCCCTGGCACACCGGACACGGTGGGACAGGTAGGGGCCGGAGCTTCTGGCCAGAACAGGCAAAGAGCCATTCAACTTGCTGGGTGGGCTAAACTGCAGCTGCGGCCTCTCCGCCTGGTTCTGCGGGGCCCCCCAAAGTGTGAGGCCTGGGGTGGTTGCCCCGATTCACCCCCCTAGGGACAGCCCTGTATCTACCCATGAGAAACCTTTCACATTTGACTAATTTTCCATTAAACCAAACTCCGTTGACAATTAAATACATTTTAAATGTTAACCAGCAATAATGACTGGTAATTGAGGCTTAATCCCTCACCAATGAGCTAGGTTAAGGATGGTTTGCCTTTAATCTATATACTTATGTCTGTTCAAAACAGACATTTGAGTATGGAAACATGACATTGCCCAGTGTGACTTTCCTAAAAACATGATAAATATTTACCATTTACAATATCAGTGTAATATCGGAGATTCATAATTCCACCACGAAGTAACTGCTGCTGGGGAACTGACTTATGTTACTAGGGTAAAAATTGTTATTTAGGGCTTTGGGCCTGCATTGCGTTTGTGCCTTAAAGAAAAGAAATGCAAACTAAATTCCAATTTTACACAAACAGAAACAGTCAAACAAGGCCACATTTCACATGTGTAAAGTATGCTGATGCATGCTCTCTCCTCTCTCTCCCTCTCCACTGTACTCAAAGGAGGGACAGTGGGTCCTTAAAGTATCATCATAGGTGTGGGAATGGAAAGGCACATGGGTTTTCCTTATTTTTACCTTATATAAATTGTTCTTCTTTTGGCTTAAAAAATAAGTCTCTCATGCTCACACATACACACATATAGAGGATATCAGAGAAATCACAGAATGTATCTAATATTATAGTTTTTTGGAAAGTGGAAGAGAGAATTTTAAGCAATTTTTCTAATCCTTAAACTATGTCTTATTTCTAATGAAAAATGCCTCATGTCTCATTTCTTTGTCTCTGTACCAACCACAATTCTTTCCCCTTCTTCATAAGCAAAGACATTCTCTGTCATCTGTATCATACTTTCACTCCTCCACACAGCACTTTGAGTTGCATCTTCAGGAGTAGAGTGGAAGCAAGACCTTATTTCACTACTCTCTGTTAGTATTTTTTATTGTATGGAAGTTAAAAGGGGCTCAAATATACACCACTTGTTGATTACCAAGTTGAATACCTCTCAAAGCTTCCTTGCTCAATTCAGGAAAAATGAGAGAGAGAGAGAGAAGGGGGTGGGCAAAGAGAAAGAATTAAATAAAGTAAGGGGCTACACAGATGCTTGCGCTCTAGGAGACAAGTGTGAGACAAATGGACTCAAGAGGCAGTTGAAGACAGAAGAAAATGTTTTTTTACTAAAAGGTAAGAACTTACTTTTCCAAGAGGGGCAGCAGTGTTCCATCTATGGCAGCAATGTTCAGGCAAACATTTTATGAACTAGACCATGCATGGTCAACTCCCAGCGCAGCATCAACCCACCCATAGGGTCTGGAAATTTGGCAGGTGAGGAACAGTGGCACCACTGCCCTGGTGCCAGATTTCCAGATCCACAGGGAGTCTCAGGCCCTGTGTGCTGGATCAGGAAACTATCTACCATGCAGGGCTGGCCTGGGCCCAATCATGGCGCACAGGGGCCGGCACCAGGTCTCTGAGGCCCAGTCCCAGCATGTGGAGGCAGTACTGGAACCCAGAGCCAATCCTGATGTGGGGGGTTGGAAGGGGGTGGGGCCAACCCTCAGGGGTCCAATCCTGGGGTATGCGGGTGTCACTGGGCTCCCTTCCCCACATTCCTTCCCTGGTATCCAGGATTGGGGGGGGGAGGGAGAGGGGTGCCAGGCCCCAGGGCCCAATCCAGCCCGTGCCATTCACTTAGCCCACAGGACCAAAATGTGGCACTAGGCCAGGGGTGGGCAAAATGTGGCCTGGGGGCCAGATGCAGCCCGCCAGGCCATTTTATCTGGCCTGTGGCACCCCTAAACATTTTAGAAAATTAACATTTATCTGCCCGGGGCTGCCTGTCATGCAGCCCTTGATGGCTTGCCGAAACTCAGTAAGCGGCCCTCTGCCCAAAATAATTGCCTGCCCCTGCACTAGGCTGTACCTGAAGGATATCCAAAATACTCACCTCAAACCCATATCAGACTTCTGCTCCAATTAAGATGTTCTAAGGGATTCAAGAAAACCAGAGCTAAAAGCAAGAGGCTTGCTAGGAAAGCTAATACCAAACAGTCTACTGTACACATCAGTCCCTCCGAGCAGCTTAATTTTTGCTGAAACTTTCACTAGTATCCCCATGAAGACAAACACAAGATATCAGACATCATCAAAACCTGCAGAAGGCATGTGAATCTGCTTTCCTATACCTCCAGCCCCCCAAACCCCAAATCTCTGGAGAGACACAAACCCTGAAGCACAAAAATTAAAACATTCCTTTTCCACTCACATAACTGGATATTCTTGATGTCCAATCTATTTTTGGAAGCCTAAATTCTTAATCCCAACACTGGCATTTGGCCTGAGGCACAAAGCTTACAATGCTTTTGCAGAAATTGCAGTTCTACTAACCTCAAGCAGTATACACCTCCATTTTACATTTCCTCTAAGAGAGTGCCTCAGCAACTCTTATCAAACTGGGACTAGCTCCCACCGACTCAGAACAGTATTAATAGCATCAGCTACTAACATCATTTCCTGCAGCACCTTAGGTTTCTATACAGATCTCAGATCCAAGGACTGACTTGACCCAGCTCATTAGCTATGGGGCTTGACAAGATTACAGCTAAAGTGACATAGCTACTGTTTTCCTTTGGGTAAAATTAACAAATCAGCACATCAAATTAAATTTAAAGGATTTAATATTACATTCAAGTCAGCACATATGCAATAAAGGAAGATTATCCTTTAAGAAAGCAACCACTTGTTACCTAGTACAATATTTCTCTTGTGTTTCTTTAAAGGGAAGTAATAACAAAAAAATGTTTCAGAAAATCATGACAAAGCACTTCAAGTAAGTTACATAAACACTGGAAGAGCTATTAAGAAAGTAAAACAAACATCTTCACTGAACTAATCAAAAAGTGGGCGACAGGGGGAAGAAAAAGATATGGATACACAACACTGAAAGCAAGTTAATCTGGTGGGCCACACAGAATCAGTAAAATTAATTTTTAAAAGGGAACCATTATGCAACTGTTAGAAAAACTGGGATTTAGCCTAGAGAAGAGACTACTGGGAAGAGTTAGAGAGTTCTTCCTAACACATAACCTAAGAATGAAGATGGCTGAAACACTGGGAAAGATCATCTGAAAAGGCTGTGGAATCTGTCACTGAGGTTTTACATGTAGGCGGGACAAACATTTGAGATGTCCATCTTCAAAGGGGCCAGAGGCTGCACTAGTGGAGGCTGTGGGCCCCAGGGGCTGCATGATCCCCTTCCCCATGGGCCAGAGTCCCCTTGCTGCTGCTGCTGTTCCCAGAGCCCACAGCTTCACTGCTTAGCTTCCAGTTGCACTGTGCCACTTAGGCATCCTGAGCTGCAGCCTCCCCCAGCACTGCCAGCTGTGCTGTCCTATACCATCCCACCCCTTTAGACAGGAACAGTAGTAGGAAGGAGAAGCCAGAAGGAGGGGGCTCCAGGCTGCTGCCGCAGCTGGAATTACGGGGGGAGCTGCTGCCCTGTGAGAGCCCAGGAGCCAAAATGTAACCCCTTGTTGACCACCAGTGGGACAGCCCTGGTTTAGAAGACAGAGATGACTCTGCCTTGAGCATCCAAACCAGATCAGGGCTGTCAAACTTGTTGGATCTAGACCACAAGGCTAGCCTTGCAGACAGATCCAAACCTGCCTCCAGCAGTGGGGAAAGGGAGGCGGGTGACCAGAGGCTGGGTTCACCAACTATGGATCTGGGCCTGGGCTCCACCCCCTGCTTGCCCCACCCCCCAAATCCCTGGCGAGCCCTCCTGCAGGCTGGATGACTTGGCTCTACAGGTTGAGGCTCTGATACCCCTGAACTACGTGATTTCTTAAAGTCATTTCTTGTTCTTTTTCTCCCTATTATTCTAAACCATGTGCTACAAACAAACAGATGGGCCAGACTTAATTTTCACAACCGAAATGCCTCACACTTCATATACAGTTACCTCAATGCTTTCGCTCACCTCAGCCACATCCCAGGCGAGGCAGCAGCCACTGCTGCACTCCCGCCAAGGGGCAGGTCAGTCTACGCTGAACCGACCTGACCTGCGCCATTCGGCGCGGCGCGGCGCAGGAGCGTCTCCCACCGCCTCCTTTCGGGGCCTGGCCGGGCACCTGCTGCCGCTTCCCCCCTGCAGCTGAACTGCCACAGCTGTAAAGCTTGGGGCTTTCCCTCCCGCTCCCCCGAGCAGCCCGCAGCCCCCCCGGCAGGTGCGGAGGGTCCCCACGCCCCAGCAAGCACCAGCGCCGCGGAGGTCCCGGCGAGTCTGGAAGCCTGAGGAGGAGGAGGAGGAGGAGGAGGAGGAGGCGGCGGCGCCCCTTGGCCCCTGCCCCTGCCCCTGCCCGTCTCTTCTCTCCGGGAGCTGCTCCCTCTCTTCCCCCGCCTGCAGAAGCGGCGCCGGCGCAGCGCCAAGACCCCGGGCCCCGCCCTCGCCGGGCCCGGGCGGGGAGCGGC